CACTAGATCTTCACCATTGTAGGACTCTCCAGCACTAACCAGAGCTACAACATGCTCATTTCCACATGCAACCTTGACAACAGAGTGACCCTGAAAATCCCAAACTGGAGTTGGAGTGAAACTGCTTACAAGTGCCAACCCACCTTCTTTGCTTTGTTGTGGGCAGTTTCCCCACATCCACAGGGTCCCACGATTATCAATAGCCAGAGACATCATTCCTCCAGCTTTAACAGCACATATCTGAGATAGCTAAACAGGTGAGAACACATCAATTATGAAGTCACATCGGCTTATATTTCAGGTTAAAAAAAATTAATGCAATTCTTGTTATACCTTGAGTGATGTTGTGCCTTCTGCTTCAGACACACCCGATGAAGAATCAGAGGGATGCAATTCATGAAACTTGTTCAGTAAGTGGGGCACTAGAGAATAGTCTCCAACCGCATATTCATTGTCCTGCGATTCCTCTCCATTTATACCAAGTTGACCATCCATACAGTAGTCAAGGGTTTAGATGCTAGTACTCAATATATATTCAACAAACTTCTATAAGGTAAAAGCAAGTAATATCTGTAAGTAAGATCCACCAAGGGACTCCAAGCATATTAAGGATACAGTAATTGTAACCCCAACACCAAACAGCTCCATCTTCTGCTAACACATAGACAGAAGAATTAGACGGGGGAATAACCTCCAGATGAACCAGCCTAAGTTTACATTAGATAATCAATACTCATGGTGTTTCATATCTGTTTAACAAGTTTTAATGCATGCATACACTAATCACTCTTGTGAAAGTTTGGTTACAAGTTAAATAATAACTAGGGCACTTTAGCTTGAGTTCCCACCAATGGAAAGGGAGATTCAAATCAGGAAATCCCTCTCCCTTGTTAGCAAAATCCAGCATACTTGTGTATGAAGGTTTCCAAGTTTTTCCAGGTTTACTAATTAATAGACGGTGGCCTGAAGGCTGAAGGCGGCGGAGAGAGAATATTCCGGCCACTTTTGTTTGTTGATCTTTACTTTTAGGTTTGTTAGGGTAGGGCCGCTTCAATTCATCTTATTTTCAACATAATCATTACTTCTATATTTCTCTTTTCTTTTTATTATATATATTATGCTGAGTTTTGTATTACTTTTTTGTTTTCTGTAGCAGGGATTCGGTTGTTGGACTTGTGAAAGTGGTTAATGGAATTTATTTTTGTTCTGCTGTGTTAAAAAAAAAAAAATTGTTGCGGGTTACATCAATTGTTCCGTGGCGGAGGCTAGATGGGCCAAGTCACTGTCGAATCATGGCGCTTGGGCTGTTGTGCTCTTAAGTAAAAAGAGTTGCACCCTGACTATCAGCTATAGCTTTTGGCCTAGTGGTAAGCGCCGATCCAACAGTTATAGTGACTACTGTTTAGCACACTCAATCTGTTTACTAAAAATAGGGAAATTGGAAGGCATGAAGTATCAAGTGTTAGATAAACATAACCTGCTAGAGCAAGACTATGATAAGCACCAGCAGCAATTCCCACAATTTTGACAGTGTCTTCTGTTCCATTTGGATTTGGGTTTCCAAAGTTGAGTTTTGCTGGAAAAAGCTCGTCTTTTTCTGAACCAGTCCCAAGCCTCCCAAACATTCCCTTACCCCAGCAGTACACACTGCCATCCACTGCACGCAACAAACAATTCAACCATAAAAGAATGAAATTTGAGATTTCAATTTTGATTCACAGAAAATAGATTTGGGTTACCAGCAAGAAGGAGAGTGTGTGCTTCTCCCGCAGCGATGTCCACCACCTTCCGCGACGGGTTGCCGGACTTCTGAGATTTGCCGGCGTCTTCCATTGCTTCCGACGACAAACACACAAAACAAGAACACACGCTCTGTTATCCCAAACACACAATACACAATTCAATACCCGACAAGAAAAACAAGATTTTTTTTTTTTTTTTTTTTTTATCACTTGCTCGCGCAAAACTTTAAGTTGTAAATAAATCTGAAAAATAAAAATATAACGGTGTAGTTAGCATTAATTTAAATTTAACTAAATGTAGGTAAATACTTTTTTATTTTATTTTACAAATATACAAAGAGTTAATTTTTAAAAGAAAAATTATTGTAAAATGTTCTTAAAATCGTATGTAATTACTCGATGCACTGTCTTCTCATTCTGATTCCATTGTTAAAATATTTTTATTTTTAAATTTTCAAAAAAATTGAAATTAATTATTTTATCATTTTAACTTATGAAAATACTTATTTTATTATTTTCTTTCTATTTTTCTCTCAAAGAATCACTTAAGAAGAATTTTATTCAAATAAATCCTAAAACTCAAACTATACGTTTCATTTGTTCAAGTCATTTTACAACCTTTAACAATTATTTATCCACAAACCATGTATTTTTTAAATTCCTATTAAATAATTGTGCCAAAAAATTAATTTTAAAACTAATGATAATAATATTTATTTTCATAATAATGATAATAATAATAATAATAATAATAATAATTTATATCTATTATAAAGGAGTTCTATTTCGGTAATTACCCTTTTAGTCTGCACTTTTTAATGGATTATTATATCTTCTTATCTCTTTTTTTAAATGACAATCCTTAACTTCTAATATTTGTTTGTGTGTAACTATTAGAGACACGAAATATCTCGTTCGTCCCTGCTACGTTGGAGGCACTTCAAAAGGTGGGATAGCTGGCCCCAAGATTTAACGCGGCTGCATACACAAGGCAGGATTCGAACCCCTGACCTTGCTTAAGCGTGGATCAACCCCTACCGCTGAACCACACGCTTGGAGTTGGTCCTTCTAGTTTAATCATAACAACAATAATTAGAAAAATAATAATAAATATTTTAATATAAAAAATGATAATAATTTAATAATAAAATAATTTTGATAATATCATTTTTTAATAATATCATTCATAATAATAATAAAAAGTATAGTCTTTAGTCTTGACATAGATAATAACACTCACGTTTTATATATA